TGGATGGATGTTGGATGGATGGATGGATGGATGGATGGATGGATGGATGGATGGATGGATGGGTGGATGGATGGATGGATGGATGGATGGACGGGTGGGTGGGTGGATGGATGGATGGATGGATGGATGGATGGATGGATGGATGGGGTGAGCAAAATGTTACCTAAACAGCCCAGTGGATCAGATTTGATACAATAAACAGATCATAAACAAAGTGATGTGGCAAAAAAAATATTGGATTTTGTTTAAAGGCCCAAAAAACATGTCAGTTCTAAAAAATGAGAATTTTCTGACTATTTTTTAAAGGGTTGGGCTTTAAAGGGTTAAAACTATTTCTCCAACTGAGGTGGTGCAGATAAGACTAAAGATTTATTTTATAGAGTTTTTCCATAAAACCTGACTTCAAACTCTCAAAAATATCCTTTAAATTAAATTTTTATTTAGTTTGAACGGCATCAAAATTCACACCAAGTCCTTCCAGATAAGTTGAGTTGCTGAGATGAAAAGAACTCTGAGGTGTTTGATGATGGATGAATATTTCAGGTTTACCTCGACGTGCAGCAGGGATTTGAAAATAGAGAGATCGAAGGGGAGGCTGCTCTCCTGGATGTTACTGGTTCCTACTGGACCTCTGGTTCCAGAAATCTGACAAAAACAAACAAAACAAACAGCTGAAACGATCCTTCAGAGAACTTCAGCTGCTGTAAGTTCATCCTGTTTAAAGGTTTGTTACCTTGAGGTAGCGCAGCCTGCAGGTGAAGTCCAGGATGTGTCCCAGGTCCGTTTTGGCGTCTCCGGTGAAGCAGGTGGGCGTGGCCTGTCGGAGCTGCTGGGAGACGGAGTAAAGCTGCAGAGGACGCAGAGAAAACACTTCTCCCTCCTGCAGCAGCTGCTCCCCTGCAGAACACGAACAGGTGAAGACATGAATTAAACCCATCTGATGGAGACGCTTTATTATTAACAGAACGCAGGAAATAAGAGGAAACGGTTCTGAAAGGATCGGACCTTTATGGAACAGCTCCTCGGCCAGCGCTGCGGTGATGCCGTTAATCTCCTGGAAAACAAACAAAAAAAAACATTAATTTGTTTCAACTTTAATGAAAATGATTCACAATAACAATCGACATCGTTTCTTTGAACTGGATCATTGCAAAAATGTGTTTAAAGAGTCTGTGACGTGCATGTTCTTCAAATCCAAAAAGTCAAAGAAATCATCTTTATATTTAAGAAAGTTAGAACAATACACACGATTTAACCCATTTTGTCCCATAACTAGCAGATTTTCTTATGAACTTGGCTCAGCCAAAGTGAAACAGGAAGTGACATCAAAGGAACGTTTTAAAAAAAGAAAACTCTCTGGTTTTTGTTTATTAAAACAATATGTGAACTCTTCATCTCTCTGATAGAGACTCAAAATAATCTAAGAAACATCAGATTCGTCTCTACAGTCTGTGTTATTAGCTGTTGTAACAACGCTCTGTTCACATGCAGACATTCCCCTCTGACATCACTTCCTGTCACTTCACAGGCAAACATCTCAACAACTATTATTATATATATATAAATTTATTTTGCAATATTTAAATCAATGTCCTCTTTCTAAAAATGCATTCATATGAATTACAAAATAATTGATGTCACAGAGACTTTAAGAAAATCCCCTTCAGGGTCTGAACTGAACAGATCATAAAGAACAACTGATGGTTCCGTTTGGGTCACATGTTGAGCATCTGACTTCCTTTGAAAGAGGTTTGTTTACAGAAACATCGCTGTTCTGAACAACAGAATGTTGTTTCTCTGAGCTCATGTGACCACAGCTGTCCCATCAGAAAGCCTGAAGTAACTTCAGAATAAAACTGCTACAGATAAATATAAATATAAATATAAATATATAATCAGCTGCATGAGACAGATTCTGTGTCTGGATTCAGTTTATTAGTTGGCAGCTTTAAACTGAGCTAAGTTAGGTCTCATGTCCATCACAGGGACACAGCGTTTCACTCACATAAAGATGAAAGTTCAGGAAGCAGGCCAGCGGAGTGGGCGTGGCCTCTGGAAACTGCTGTAGCAGCGTTTGTAAGTAAAGCTCCAGCTCTTTCTGTCGCCGCTCCACCAAGCTCTTCGAGTTTTTACCCAAAATCTTCTTAGGAGGAAGCAGCAGGCGGTCGACCTTCTTCTCTGCCGTCAGCTGAGAACAAAACATGTCAGGAGAAAAAAAATCATTTGTTTTAGTCATTTAAGAATCCACGTATTCAAAACAAAAACTGAACATTAACAGGTTTAGAAAAGCTAAAAAACTGCAGCTTTTCTGTTAATCATCAGGGCGTTCCCTCATGACGTACCAGAAAAACAACCAGGTGAACGACCTACCTTCTCATGGAGGTCGTAGAAGTCGCTGTAGCGGTGCTTCACGGTCCATCGGTGCCGTCCATCCGTCACGTCGATGATGTAAACCTGAAAAATCACAGAAATGATGCAAACATAGCTGAAAAAGAACAATTTAACAAACCAGTGAAGCTAAAAACTGTAAAATTAAACTAGAGAAGTTGCATTTCCGGCGAAAATGCTAGTGTGAACGCCTCTTACTGGTAACTTTAGCTGGAGCTAAGAAACAAATTGATGATGTCACTGATGACAATCACCATCAAATTTCTAAAAATTGAAATTGCTAAAGAACTATAAAAATTTAAGAAACCAAAAATCACAGCAGGAATGTCCTGAAGGAGCTGAACATTTTGTTATATGAATGGTTTAAGTAGCACAAAAATTGTGGAAGGAGAAGCGGTCCAAAAAAACGTACAGAAGAAACTTGAATAATAAAGAATAAAGAGAAACATGAAAACAATAGTGTGAACGCTGGAGACATTCACACAATAAATGAATATACAGTATAGATGAGCTGCTGTTTATTAAATGATCAACAAGTTTTTAGTTCACTGACATATTAGGATTCATTACATATCATATTTGTCCTTTTAAGTGTTGTTTTTATTCATTTAATTGTTTCAGTAAGAACTCTGGCTGCTTTTTAAAATCATTTTTAGAGATTTTTTATTTCCTGTTTTTAAGCCACTTAACCCTCTGAATCACTGCCCTACTCAAAATTCAAGCCCCAGATTTTGTACCAATTTATCAGCTACACAACTGCAGGAGGAGTTTAGGAACCAGTGGGACTCCAGATCAGCTGGAAGAAACAAAACAAATTCCAGTGGTCGACAAACTGCAGAAAAAGGTGCCGTTCGCTACAAACTACAGCGACATGGAGGAGCACGACGGTCAATAAGAGGAAGTGGAAGACTGGAAAGTGAAGGCAGCCTGAGCTGTGACCTTCAGAAATGAGAGTGTGGTCTCAACAGATCCTGAGGACATGATTAGATCTGTCTCAAAGCTCCAATAATAAACACAATCAGAACTTTAAAGAAGCTGTAAATTCCCTCCTGGTCAGTGGGACTCTACAACAGAAGCTGGAAGAACTGAAGAACTTCTATAAAAATGTTTTGTTTGTCAGAAGGTTGCACCAGGAGGAGACGTTGAAGGAAAATGTGAATTTGAGGGGTGAACAAGAGGCCAAAAGGCAGCAAATTCAGGAGGAGAACACAAGACAGACAACATTACAACAAATAGTGCACTGCAGACTGTGTGAAAGATTAACAAAAAGAACCAGAATGGTTAGGGCTGCCACAATTAGTCGATTAATCGACGAGTAATCGTTTATTAAAATAATCGATGACTAATTTAATAATCGATAAATCGTTTTCTCTTTTTTGTTGTTCTTAACTTTGTTTTTCTCTCCAAACTGCTTTGACACCTTCCACTGCCACATCTGCC